GGGGGGCTTGATGCCAAAAAATAGAAAAAAGAAAAAGAAGAAATAAAAAAGTAAAGAAACGAGGAACTTTGAATCCACCTACTTCGCGAAGGCCCTCACCTCACCAGTGCTTTGAGGAATGTATCTGGCCAGGAAGTGAGGAACATGAAACAGGTCGTTTTCCTTTTTTGTTTCTTGTTGTGAGCTCCTTGTAGCCCCCTGCCAGCCAGGCAGGGCGGATTCCACGCGAGGCAGTCAGCTGCCTCTCTTCATTCAGTTCCAGACAAGTACTGTAGCATCCTGTATCGGACCGCAATCACAGCATAAGGGATTTTTTTTTTTTTTTTTTTTAATCTGCTGTCGTGGATAGACAAGGGCCCTGACTGAACTGCTACCGAAAGGCAGCCCGAGTTTCAACTGCAATTGAGACTCTACTGGATGAGGGGTGGGGGACAATGAGAAAGGGAGGCGCAGCTACTGGCAGGTCTCGGTCTTTGTGTTAGCCAGACCCCCACTGGCGGCCCCAACCCTATACCCTAAACATTAGGGGCAAGGGGCAACATGAAATCTCCCATTCACAGTGAGAGGAAACTATGCTTGCAGGGGTCCCCTCTAGATAGCCTTAGGAGTAGGTAGTGAAAGGCAAAAGCAGAAGTTGAGAGAAGAATATGGAAAGGAAAAAAAAAAAAAAAAAAAAAAACCTCGGGCCCTGACTAAACTGCTAAAACGCAGTTTCAAATGCAATTACAAACTGCTTTCGTGACTGCGTCGTAGTTACCCCAAAAAACAAGTTCTTGAAGCATTGTCCTGCTTAGCTTAGAGAGTAGCCCCTGAGTGGATAGACCAATCTTGAACCCTGCTCTGGTCTGCTCCTTGCCTACCATCTAGCCTATTCTATTCTGCCTTACTAATCCTACTCTCACCCCTAGGTGTCTCTTTAGATGCTCCTAAATCTTCCAATTTTAAGGACGTCAGCGCGGTTAGATACGTCCTAAAAAGCAACTTTGGATTGGAAAATGTGAAAACGGAGTTAGGACGTTTCCTAAAAGATTTAGGATTCCCCAGCCAAAAGCTCCAATATGTTCAAGAACCTTGCGAGGTTCTTGAAAATAAGGGAACCCGCGTCTCACGGACTCTCGGCTACACGCGCAGGGCACCCATGTTGTCGACAGCCTGGCGCAGAACATGACCTCCACAGTGTTTGCCTGACATTTGAGGCTGGACCGACCGACGGGCCTGCCAATGGGCATTCCAGGTAGCCATTGTGGCATCGATGCCGCACGTGGCCCCGGCGGGTGGGAGCGGCCGCTCAGCGGCGGTGCGTTCTGCGAAGATCTCTGTGACGACTCTCCTCGACATTCGCAGCTTGTCACGGAAGTAACCTTCCGTGGCGTCGTTCGCAATCATCAAATCCCTCCACGTTCCCCCCCTCCTCCTCTTGATCTACCATCGCGGGCTTTCACGAGGAATGGAGCCGGAAGACATCACCGCGCAGAGCTGAAGGACAGCCGTGGAGATGGCGGCGGCGTCTAGCGTCTCCAGAAGATGCTGACCGAGTGCCCGCTGCAGGCGCAATCTGTGATGTGAGTTACCAGCAGTGCTCGTGTGGTTCCGCTCCGCACCAAACACCACAGCCGTGACGGCCATATCGATGGCGTCCAGCTCCTTTGCGGAGAGGCCACGGGACGCACCAAGAGCGTCCATTGCCAGCACACCGTCACTGACAAACAACCACACTCCCTGTTCACACGTCGGAGAAACAGTCATGGTCACAAGACGCACTCGCTCCGCTCATTCACCAACAGCCGCAAGACGACACCTTCACAAAGGGCTATTCGCACAGACGCGATATGCTGGCTATGGGCTGACGACGAATGCATATGACGTTCTCTGTGGCGGTGCGCCATTCTGCAGGCCCCGGTGACGACATTCAAAAATTTGACATTTCAAATTTTGTGCCTTCCGCGCTCTTCAGAACCGGGCTATGCAGGGCCTCCCGTGTTCGTAATGTGCACCACGGACATGAGTGCGACCCAGGCGGACATCGGCGGCGTGGCTGCTAATGGAAATATGAATCTGCCCACGGAAAAGAATATCTTTTAGGACAATTCTAACCCCGACTACGACACCCGGAAAAATCTTTTAGGGTTCGTCCTAAAAGATTTAGGATTCCTTTAGGAGCATCTAACGGCGCCCTAACTGTTAAATCCATTTTTTTTTTTTTTTAATTATAAAGCCCAGGTTGTTGTAGAGGTGGGACACTAGACGGATGACAGTCACCCACAGCACTCGGCCACTCGGTTGCCCAGATGAACCCCTCTGAAGACCCCACCCACCCTTCCTCTTATCTTTTTGCCCTGGCGCACCCCCACCCCCCCTGTCCTACCCTAGTGTTAACCACCCAGGACCATCACCCATTGCCATCATGACGGGGTGACCTGACCAGACAGCGGTTGCAGGTACCGGGGCTAAGCAGAGGTGCCTACCCCCTGCTCAGCCCCGGTTGAAGCAGACGCCGTGCAAGCCTGATTGCACGGGGACTTCGGGAGCTAGGTTTGAACATGCTACTACAGGTCTTCATGAGGGTGCACGGTGACTCCCATCTAGCTTAGTTGTATGGTGATGATAGAGGGCTGGGTATCCTCCGTTCCCTCGAATGTCCCTGGAGCCCGTTCTGGCCATGACACCCCTGACATCCCGTACTAAGGAACTGCTATGCCAGCCTCAACCCTATGCTACGTACTAGGAGGATAGCCAACCCTAGGTCATGATTTTATGGACTGAGTTTCTTTTTACTCTTATGTTGTCTTTCTTTACTACAGTGTACTATGATGTTGATGGTAGAGAGATGGGGATCCTCTGTTCCCTCGTATATCCCTGGAGCCCGTTCCGGCCCTGCAGTAAGGTGCAGTATCTCCTGACACCCCGATATCCTTGCTAAGGACTGCTATGCCAGCCTCAACTCTAAGGTTCGTACTAGGAGGATAGCCCACCCTCAATCGTGAATCATGGACTGTATGTATTGACCCTGGATAATCTCTAGGCCCTGTGTTGTATGATAATCTGAGAGCAGACAATCCTCTGTTCCCTCGTATGTCCCTGGAGCCCGTTCCGGCCCTGCGGTGAAGTGTTAGACCACTATGTCCTGACACTCCCGACATCCCGTACTAAGGAACTGCTATGCCAGCCTCAATCCTTTGACCACGTACTAAGAGGATGACCAGCCCTAGGTTACAGTCTGGTATCGAACACAGGACCTTATGTGAATCGTGCAAGTGACCAAACCTATTGACATACACTGTGAAATAGTCTGTAGCTGTGCTCTGCTGGCCTCGAGTAAACCAGACTACGCAAACTATCCAGGAGTCTCATGACAACCCCGTTGACCAAGAACATCAGGATACCCACCATCGCCCAGTCCCCACATACAACAACCTTGGACTACCCCTTGGGTGGTGCGCAGGCAGTGTCTGTAATAACTTACCTGAGTCATCCCAAGGGGGTGTGTGTCCAGCCGTGCGTCATTCTAACGCCCTGCCGGTGTCCATGCGCAAGGCTGCGGAGTTTTGAACCCACAACCTCATACCACAATGCGCGTTTCCAACGGGTGCTCTAATCCTATTGCTTCTAGTGATGATATCTTAAACAACCAGTACTTGGCCCAGCTATCCAGTCCGAGGCTGAGCCTGCCAAGCCTGGAAGTACCAGTAGCTGGACGGGCCGAGGCTGGGGGGACCAGTTGGAAAACGAAAACAGAAAAAAAAAAAAAAAAAAAAAAAAAAAACGTTGGGGACGTGAATGCAGTTGGATGCATTCTCCCGAGTGCTAGTGTGAGCACGTCGCAGTTTGGGTGTATCAGGCCCGTGCCGTTTTTGTCAGAATCCAAAAGTAAAAAAGAGGGAAGAAAAAAAACAAACAAACCAATCTCAAAGGAGAAAGAAAAAAAAGACACGAATTTGGCACTGAAATTAGTTAGATACATTTGTCTGTGTGCAATGTGAGCTTCTGATCCCACAGTGCCTAAGTTAGGTAATGTTGGTGAAAAGTCGGACCCCAACACTGCCTGAGGTCAGTGGGTGTGACGCTTTGTTAGGGGTACGTTTTCAGGTTATGTGTACATGGCGCATAGCCCCTAATGAACGACCCAAAGACACTACATACAATGGAAAGCGCAAGGACCCCTACCCTACCTAGAAAGTTGTCGTGAAAATGTGTCAGCCTTTTCACCCTTCCTATTCAGGTCCGTCTGTGTCACCCATATCGGGAGGCCAGGTTATTCGGCGGGCCACAGCAACGTCCGACTTCATAGAAGCCCAAAGAAATCCCCCGCAGTAGTTGGGAGAGACCCACCGAACCCGGGTCTGTGGGGTCCCAGTTTGCTTTTCCGCCCTGTCCTACCCGTTGCATTCTTCTTAGGGACTGTCTTGTTTTGTCTCTTTTTATGTAATGTCGGATCAGCACCCTGGTATGCCCTCGACGAGGGCAGTTCAGCAGATCACGGGATATGCCCTCTGCCTCTCTGGCAGGGAAATCTAAGAAAAATGGAAAAGAAACAAAAGCAGACAACAAAGACATTCGGAATCTAACTGAAATACTAGTTAGAAGCATTCCACCAAGAACTGACGGTTCTCTCACCACCGCCGGGACAGAGGGCTTACGCAGGGGCTATTCATAAAATAAAATATATAAAAAAAAAAGGAAAAGTAGTTTTTTTTTTTTTTTTTTTGTTTTTTGTTTTTTTAACTCGCAATTCCCCCCCCCTCCTTTTTTCATAACCCCCCCCCCCCCCCCCCCAAATGTGGCGCGTTAACGGGACACGCCCGCGGCCCGTGGGCCTTTTTTTTGCACAGTCGTGAAAACAGTTTCAAATTTCAAAAATGCATTCCAGGCTTTCCTGGAACATCACACACCCCCACTGCACCCTAAAGCTAGCTTGTATACATCCAACATATTCAGCATTTTGCCCTAGACTACATTTTGAAACTAAAACCAAGACTGTGCCCTAGTTTTCCAAGAAAAAGAAGAAAAATAAAGGTTGCAGTCTAGAGCCTTGTCTAATTGTTAAGGAGTCATATCATTACTGACGCGGGGGTAATGTCCAAGGCAACAGGATAGAAGGTAGAAGCCAAGGACCTTTGTCTGACATTCCCGGGGCCCAAGTCCAACTTACAGCGTAAAGTAGGGCCTCGCCACACCACTGTCAGAAGGCAAACAAAATTGACGGCTGTCAGAACAAATTCGACAGCCTCCATTCGACAGTTTGGCCCCCCTTAGCCACACAGCACCGTAAAGTGGACGGACTTGTGAAAGCAAGATGGAAAAAGACGAACGCACCTGAGGGTACGACAAACATTAGTCCATCCAAACCTTACCCCCACTCACCAAATTTCGAAGAGAAGTCGATGGCGCAGCCAAGGCCTGTCGAAAGCATCGGAGTAGCAGGCTGGGGATTCAACAACTTTCGACAGGAGGTGTTGAGAAGCATTCTCTGACAACTGACGAACTTTCTTCCTGTCTCCGACTTGGACAGCCTGTGGCGAAGAGAAACTATCGAAAACCGCATTTTCGACTGTGGTGTGGCAAGGCCCGTAGAGCTAGTTTTTATGATGTGAGTTATGCGACACAGTTATTTTGAATTAAATATTTATATTTAAAACAAGGGGTAACTAGGGCGCAGTCACGAAAGCAGTTTCTAAATGCATTTCAAACTGTGTTGTTGAACTCCAGTCCTGTCGGAAGTTTACTAGGCAGTCGAAACCCCACTTTGCAGAAAAGTCGCACTGCGGAGTTTGGAACTGCGTAGTGAAGTCCCGACGGGACTGGAATTAAAAACCGCACATGGAGAGAGAGAGAGAGAGAGAGAGAGAGAGAGAGAGAGAGAGAGAGAGAGAGAGAGAGAGAGAGAGAGAGAGTTTTCCATCTATAGGATGAGCAACGCACTGGCCAACAGGTAGGTCTCCAACCCCCACGGCTGACCTCACGCTACTGGAAATTTCTGATATGGCCCGGTAGCACCTCTCCGGGGGCCACGGGAAAGACTACGAGTGTCAACAATGGCGACAGGGGCATGCGGGAAAGATGCACGGTACCAGTAAGGGCATATGGGAAACTATCTGTTGGTTCTCAACAGCCAACCTGCCTACTGGAAATTTGGGACAGGTATGAGTAGGGGCATATGAAACATGTTTCAGCCCGGCCTTTGAATTGTTATTATAAGGGACGTTGGGCCCGGTTCCCAACTCGTGCAGCTCCCCACGAATAGAAAGGAGCAAAGTGTTGAGAAAAAAAAGAAAAAGAAAAAAAAAAAAGAAACATGTTTCAGGCCCAGAAGACCTCAGGGGTTTTCTGGAAACGTCATACGTTGTCAGAGAGACACTACAGGGTAAGTTGGCCGTCAGAGGGGCATGCCGCAAAATGATCCGAACTTCAGGGGCATTTCCGATTTTTTTCCCAAAAAAAAAACAATCCCTGAGTGAAACTCTCCTTACAGGGCACTATTCTCAGGGCATACTCACACAGCTACCCCAAATTCGCAAAACATGCGCATCTGGGAAGGGCAGATTTGAGGTTTTGGGCACGGTTCTTTTTTTTTGGGGTAACTACAGCGCAGTCACGAAAGCAGTTTGTAATTGCATTTGGAACTGCGTTTTAGCAGTTTTTTTTTGTTTGTTTTTTTTTAAACGTTTTAGCAGTTTAGTCAGGGCCCGAGTTCCAATTGCAGTTGAAACTCGGGCTGCGCAGTTCAGTCAGGGCCCTCGTCTATCCACGAAAAGCAGATTAAAAAAAAAACAAAAAAAAAACATCC